GTTTATGAATGTCCAACTTCTATATTTGCAGTTATAACTACAATTCATAAATACAAGCCATCAGTGAGAAATATTGCTAGCTTAGGAGCTCTTTTTGGTCTGATTCTTCAAGAGTTTGGCTTAGTTTTAACTGACCAAGTCAACACTCCACTCAGAAACGTCAACTAGTAGGAAAAGCGTTACCGTCTCCATCAATTTCCATAACCATCAACCCTGGCCATGAGAAGCGGGAAGCTCATACACAGAACACAGCTCCTTGTGCATTGCTGGGTGAGGAGGTTAATGGGATTCTAGGAAAAAAATATTTACTAAACAACACAAAGATTTATTCCTTTGGAAGCATCCAAGGCACTATCTGTGTTGTGCCACCTTCTGCCAAGTTAGTAGACTTACACTTCTTAAATGCGCAAGGAAGGGCAAGCTTGAGAGTGCAAATATTCTGCCTAAGGAGAATATAATTAAATTCCATAGCATATTATTCCAATAGTGAAGGTTTTTAAGACAAGACTGGATAAAACCTGGAGCAACCCGGTCTGCCCTCAGAGCTGACCCCGCGGTGAGCAGGAGATTGGACTACAGCTCTCCTGAGGTCCCTTCCAGCCCGAACCATCCTCTGATGCTGCCCTCACAACGCTTCACGGCCCAGGTGACACGAAACCTGGAGGTAGAGCGAGGGAGAAATCCCAGCCCCGCTGCAGCCCCTGCTAAGACCAAAGCCAAAAGCTGTAGGACCTGGTACAGAGAACAGTTGCAAATTGCAAAATACTGCAGAAGCAGAACTGAAAGGTGCCTACGTGGCCGTGAGTTAGTTATTTAGAACATGCTGTTTGACGACTTATTTTTTTTTAAGATGAAAAACTATTCCTGTACAACTATTAAGTTTTTTATGAGTGCTTAGCACAGCAGATCCAGCAGTACGGTAAGTTCATAAAAACAGCCTGCTTTTTAACAAGAGCGTACGCAGGTCTCTGTAGAAGGGCAATCAAAACTGTCACTTTGTACAATATAATGGAGCAGGACACTTGTCATCCCAGAGGCCAAGCTCACTCAGCTACTGCAGCTAATACTAGAGATTTATTTAAATTAATCTGCAGGAAAATTAAATCCATTACCTTAAAAAGCAAGGGAATAAATCAAATGCAACAGGAAACCAGGAAAAGCTGCTGCCATTTCAGTCAAATCTAAGGTTGTGTGAGCACATGAAATTTTTCCTCGTCAATGACATAAAAACAATTCATAACAGGAAAAATAATATCAGCTGTCGTTACAATGCAAAACGCAAATATGCTCAGCGAGTTGAACACCGCAGCCGAAGTATGAAGAACATCTCAAGCTGTTTGTATTTCCAAACAGGACTTGAGGGGTCAGGGGAGGGAGGAGGACATGTGGGCAGGCTGGAATGATGGATGGCGTTTAGTGGCATGCTGTGTTTGGGTCTACTCCTGTTATTTTTGCAACAGGATGTCTCTGATTACTCTCTGAATAGAGAATAAGTATGGTTACGTCTCATTGCTCAAAGGGAACGTTTTTTTCAGAGCCTCACAAATTAAATAGGACATTGTAAAGCAAGCAGTCAATGAACTATCAGGTGCTGTTTGTCACAAATCTAGCAACGGTGTCAGGAAATTCCCTGGGGGCATCAGCGGTGGGTTTGGGGGTGGCAAATAAGGTGTATGTACTCTTGTCCTATGTACTGCAGACCCCAGCTCTGCAGAGTCCTTCTGTGCCATTGCCTATACGGTTTGGTCCAGGCCAAATGATATAAAATATATATAGCAGGGACAAACTAAGCCTCTAGATAACTATTTCAGCCATAAAGTTGCTGCGATGTGGAGAGGACTTCACAAAGGACGGAGGACAATTGCTTTTCCAAATCCCATCCTTCCAGAGATGTCTGCAGAACCGGCTCCAGGCTCCCAGGGTGCTGCCTGCAGCGACGGTCAGGCCAAAGCTGCCTAAATTGAACACTTATTGAGTGTCACCAGTAGGATAATGACACTGTCCCCAGCCAGACCTCAGAGGCCATGGCGATGTTCACACTCCACAGCGCAGCCCTGGCCACGGAGCATTTCTTTGAAAGCTACTGAGGTTTCTCACTGATGCCAAAGGGAACTGCAAGTCCTCGGCAACTTGTAGAAAAGGCTGAGATGTGGGGACTTGGGAACGACATGAACGTGCATGCAGGGACATGAACACACGCAAGCGTTGCCAAGATGGGGGGGTGTGCTGTTTTTTCAAAGCAAAGGCTTCAGGGAGAAAGGAAGGGGAGAAATGTTGGAAGCAAGGTCAGTTAGAACAGACAGCTGGTCTTAAACCTAACTAAACTCGGGGCTGAAGCTGCAAATGGAGGCCACAAAGCGAAACACACGGGAATAATTTCTCTACAACAGCGTAACATTTCCTAATGAGCCAGCTCCATGAATTAGCTTATCTAAAATAGAGGCGCCAGCTCATCCAGGGTCAGGATGACTCAGTAACACCAAGGACCTCTCCCTGGGAGTTACCAGTTTGATTCTGGCCCAAGTTCAAAGCATCCAAGAATTGTCTTTGTGATGCCACAACCTCTGTAAAAAAAGTCACTGGTCTCAGTGCAGTTTCTCAGTGGGCAGATGTTCACATCAAAGCCACCATCGAAAGCCTTTCCAAGGAGGTGCAGTGAGCCAACACGATGGAGAGTCAACAACCTTCTCCCTCTTCAAAAGGGATCTCAAGCTCAGGACTGGACCATACAAAAACCGGTATGACCCACACTGACCAGTTCTGTAACAAGGACTATGCAAAATAAATAAAAAGGAAAGAAAGAGAGAAGAGAGAGAGAGGGAGAGGGAGAGGGAAAGGGGGGCGGGGAAGGGAAATCACAATATATTTGCAAACAGTGCAAATGAAGGCGGATCGTAAAATGATGGCTCATTTGCACCAGATATCACAGACGTTTTAACACAGCAGAATTAAAAAAGCACCAAACATTTCATGATATGAAGCAGCTAAAGAGAAGAAACTGTCAAAACTCACATGTCAGACAAATTTTGGGCAAGAACTCTGTACATACCCCAAGCTCTCTGGATTCCTTCCCAGAGCCAAGACACCAGTCTCTCACACACAATTTATCCGTCTCTGTCTAGTCTGTTTTTGACTAGTTTTAGCACAACCATTTAAGGGTTTTATTTAATCAGTCAGGAAGGAAAGAGTTCAAGGAACACTAGGGAATATGTGGCAAAATATGACAAGGTTAGATCACTTGCACTGGATTATTCTCCTCTGGCACACCGCAGAAGAAATAACCCCAGTCAAGCTCCGCATGTTCAACGGTCTACAGGGAACGAGACCGGCATTATTCAAGGTAAGTGACACTTTAAAGAACTTTAAATTAGCTGTTGACAGTCAGGTAGATAGATTGATGAGTGATTACACGAAGTCCCCAACATTACCATTTTGTGGTGAAAGCAAATATGAAGGGGTGGGGGGAAGTAAGAAAAGCCGTTAAATACGGTTCTGCCAAGCTGTGGTGCATTCAGATGACAGTGAAGTTCGTTTAAGGACACTGGAAACTTCTAAAACAAATTGCTTTCTCTGAATCAAAAGCTGACAGAAAGTTTCCTAGCTATATTTTTGACTCCAGAAACACTGCAAGCCATGCTAGTAGACTATGATAAAAAAAACCAAACCAAAACAAAACCAAAGAACAACCAATAAAAAAAATCCCCCCCATCATCCTTCTTCCTAACAAGCATTCCTTCTTCCAGGGCTACAGGACCACATGCGAGCGGAGCAGAAGCGAGCACCCCTGAACTGCACAATTAAGGCTGACTTACTGTATGTACAACAGATGCCCTCACTGCAGTGGTCCCTAAAATATGTTTTTTAAATAAAATTAACTCCACTCAGGAATCTGTAATTAGCACCATCTTCAAGAACAAATCGGAACAAGCTCATTGAAGCGCTCTAACTATTTACAATGAGAGGGAATTTACCCCCGAGGTTCACTTTACTATTTTGTCTCAATTTTCTTGTAATTTCATCCATCACATTTTTTTCAGTCCTCCAAAGGTGATGGATAAAACACAGAAATAAATAGGACCAACTGTTCGCAGAAGCCTAAGGGAAAACATAATTTTGTTATAAATAATCCTTGGCACAAATCATGGAAACGCAATACTAAAATTGTTTGTTGAATCATTTATGAATTGGGCCTTCAGTTTTAGTTTGCAAATAAGTTAAAGTTTTTTGTTGATGTTCTTTTTCACTTTGCTTTTTTAGCTGGAAAACAGCCTTTGAGAATCTGAACTGATATATAATCCAGAAAACAGAGTGAATGACGGATTTTTTTTTTTTTTTAAAGGGAAACCCTATGCTAATATAGGGCTTTTTGGGGGGTTGGGGGAGGGATTTACTCATGGATGATAATAAACTAAATGATGACAAATTTTTACTTTATTTTCATAAGATGCCACCATTGTGAGTTTCCACTCCAGCTTTATGCTAAACATGTAGAAAAGGCCAAGACAAAATGGTGCCTTACAAACCCCCCCCCAAAAATGAGTTGCAGATACCTCTGCCGGGAGACTCAAATGAATGTTCATGATCTAACAGATAAATGTGACTACTGAAAACAACATACACTTTTGTGTTTGTTCTTAGATGTGAAATTTTGAGGATTTGTTGTTACAAACGAATGCGAAAGTTCAGTGGAACATAACTGCGCGCTACCGCGCTGTGCATGTCGTCGTCACGCATGAAGAAAAACACAACACGAGTGGAAATTCTGCTGTCGTGAGACAGCATTGCAGTATTTTAGAGGACAGCTGATTACCCAAACTCCTCACATGAAATTTATAAACACGAAGAAATATCGAAGAACAGAGAGGTGCATTTCTTTCTTAAGTTTTTTTGTCTGAAATTGCTATTTTTCGTCATCTGAAGAGAGAGAGAAGCTTGGAGATAGATAAAAGCAATGCGAAGACTCATTTCTCATGAGCCGGAGCAGGTGTGCACAGCCTTACCTGATCTGTCCTCGCACCAGTGGTCTGTTTTTTGTCCTGTTCATATTTGAGTCAAACGGAACCTCAAAGAACTGTAATAAAAAAAAAAAAAAAAAGGGAAGAATGAAAATGAAAGGATGCCGGAAAGCATGCCATGCGTGGAATGTACTGTCTGCATCTGCAGGTGCTTTAATCTCTATTTTTGAAGGTTCAGAAATACGAGGAAAATGGCAAACTCCTTTTACGGAGCTTTGATAGTCTGCATTAATGCTTTTGGCATCCCCTTAGAAAGAAAATCACCTGGAGGACAAAAATAGTTTGCACAAGTCCCCAAAAGTTAATTATTTGAAGTTGAGTTTGATTCCAAGTTCTGTTCTCGACAGGTTTGACACAGCTTTTATATGTACACAATTATATATACACATACACACAGCCCTGCCCCCAGTTTTATATTAATACAAACAGCTCTTGCAAATGTTGCGCTTCTGGTATTTAAAAGACAAACACTAAATTTTTTTCAAGATCATCTAACTTCTGAGAACCTATAACCCACCCCAAAATCAATCAACTCTTGTAAAACGCTACTGAAACTGCACTGAGCATCTAGTTCTAGCAGCCGGGAACAAACACGCCATATGGTGTTATTTAATGTCACAACCCAGTTTGACTTTAAACATCGCCTATGGGAAAATTCAGGCGGCACTATCTTCACGCTAGGAATTCCTGCAGGCTTTTGTGCGCTCCGTTTTATAAAGAATGTTACTGGAAAGGCTGAGTGCGCTTTGCCATACAGCAAACTGTAAAGCCGTTCAGCTTTACGTGTGGCAAATTAATAATAAAAATAATAAGCATATATTTATTTATAAAAAGAGTAGTTTGTATTTATAGAAAGAATATTTTCTACTGACCTTATGTCTGAGGTTTTGGGGTAGGATCCCAATTATGGTGAATATGTAGGAAAAGTACCATAACAAATCCTAATTTCAAACAATCCGACGGACAGTAAGCTCAGTACAGTCAACTGCAGACAGATGTCAGGTGACGATACGATAAACAACTGTATGATAAAATCTATGTCATTCCAGCAAGCTGATGTAACCTTTTACACAACAGAAGACCAAATTAACAAACATCTTTATTTTGACAGTGCCACATTACTGGTCTTGCTACCTTAATGGGGCAGCATTCCCGGGGGAATGCCAGCAGACGGGGACGTCGGGAGCAGCAGGGACCCCATCGGAGCCCTACAGGTGCACATCAGGGGAAAAACACTCATTTACAGGCACACAGAGACACCAGGAGCCACCTTTCCCATCCATTACTTTGAAGTACTGACTATATAACAATTTGGGAACCTCTGCCGTTGCTCCTACGTACTGCAAGCGGGGCAGGGATCGGATACTGCTGAACACAGCCCGTGACATGGTGATATTTTTAACCTCAGGTTGAATCATCTTCCCAACAGTTTTAACCATTCCCAGGAAAGAGGTTATAAGAAAACCCTTCATGCACACGAGCGAGAGCGAGCGCGTGCACGTGCTCAAGCCCACACGCTAAAGTTATCCTGCTCAAACAAAACTTGCTAACAGTATGCTCTAAAGCCAAGAAATTTGGCAGTGGGCATCATCTTCATGTTTTGTTATGCTTGTGAAACTGTCCAAACCTGGGAAAGAACGCGACTCAGGCGGGTGGCAGGGAAGGGAGGGGAGAAGGTGGAGGAAGCAGCAGAGCCAGCAAGGGGGGCACTGGCCGGGGGACCCCAAACCTGCGCTCCCCCCTGCCAGCCAGCAGCTGTGAACCCCCTGGAAAAGCGGCTGCCTCACCCCCCTCTAGTGGCTGGCCAACACAAATTAATGGATAATTACTGTTGTTAACTCGGCTGAAGCCTGTGCTGCGTATTAAAGCCCTCAGTTTGTCCATGATGGATCCAAAACCTACCACGGTTCTGCAGGGGAGGAATCCTGCATTTGTCGGTTTGCGGTAAAGGCTGCAGATGAAATGCTCAAAAGTTAAAAAACATAAAAGAACGGGAATTGAAATCATCAACACAGATCTTAATGACTAGTTCACATCCAGTTCACTAAAATTTCTCGCCTCCATCTGTGCATTGGGCTACGCAGCCTTTGGATGGTTTGCTCTCGGTAAGCCTCCATTCGGAGCAATTGGATGGAGCACCCGACCCACTCCCAATCCCTACCGACTCCCAAAGCCTTCCAATTTTATTATCGATATTCCTGAAGCAAACTCAGGCTGCTCAGCCAAGAGTTACTCACGCAAAAGAGGAAGAGACTTCAGGAAGAAAAAGGGTTAGCTTATACGCCTTTCACTTTGACAAAGCGTTCCAGTGCAGCACTAGGCAACTCATTTATTTAGTTTTAGCTAGGCAGCTAATAGGTTATTTCTCACCCTCTGTTTGTTATGCCTGAGCTGCAGCGGCAATGGTCACTCCCAGCTACAACTGAAGCTGGTGGAGACCCTGGTTTAGAAGAAAAGCACAGAGGAGTCTCCGGGGCAGCGACAGGCCCCAACGCCCGGAGCCCCGGCAGCTCCGGGCAGAGGCCAGGCCGGACCGGCACGGCTACAGCGCGGCCCTGGAAGGGCTGGGTGTTTCACAAAGAACCTCTGTAGGGCACCAGAACGAGTACCTTCGGAGAAGGGAAAGCACCCCGTTTGGATCCGAAACCAGTGATTGCTTCTGACAGCTCAGCATTTTGCTAATGGTTTGTTGCACTGTTACATTTCAGAGACAATTATGTTAAATGAAGAAAAAAATGTCATTTGACATCAGACTGGTAGAGCAATACAAGGGAAAAATTCTATATAGCTGAAGTATTTTCTCCTGAAAATATTCTGAGCTACGCTCAGTTTTGCTTTGTTTTTAAAGACACAATTTTCCCTTTATTTCTGTTTGCAAAGTGTGACTGCTGTGAGCTTACTTCCAGTTGAAACTTGTGCACGTGAGGAGGTTCTGGCTCATTTGAGAGTATTTAAGCTTACCGGTAACGGTATGCTGTGTGCAATGGATAAAATCAAAATAATGCACAGGTTTTAAACTCCATGTGTCTCAAACACAAAATGACTGAAATGAAGAACAGTTGGACACTCAACACTGTTGAAAGAATTTAAACTTAGGCAGTTATCAGTATAACCTGACAATACCATAATCAGTGTATGAAATTTTTCCATATATTTAATATTGTAGTTAACCCCTGAATAGAACACAAATTCCGAAGAAGAAATTCCTCTGTTGAGTTAAGGAGTCAAAAAATGCCAGTCTCTGCTGGACACAGACACGGCTGCTCCCGAAATTAAGATTACTGCATGACTTAAGTCTGAATTTTTTCGCTTTTTAAAATCTGACAAACTGAATAATCTGTTACTGTCAACTGTACGCACGAAACTACATATCCGATTGAACCACAGTTAAGAAAAATCCTTTTATTTGCAATGCCCCAGATTCTTTCACTGAGCTAGTTGCTATTACATGTCAGCAAGATGCCATTTATCAAACTTTTCCCATTTTGCTCCCAGATGTTCAGAAAAATTCTCTCTCCACTTGAAATTATTTTCCCCTGATATTCTAGAAAAAATGAAAAAAGTGCATCTCAAATATCATTCCATAGGAATGAAAGAGTGAACGCAAACATATTATCTCATGCCAGGCCAGCACAGTACAGCCTGTTTTAGCGAACAGTAAATTCAGTAAGATGAATCCTGAATAAATAAGTATTTCAGAAGCACTCAAGAGGCTTTTTCCTCAGGAAGCGTGAATGCATCAGTTTGGCTGGACAAGGCAGAATATTATCTGGCCTAGGTATTTGGGAAGCTAGCCATCGAAAGGACAGGCAGAGGGTTAAATCTACAGCATCTAAAAATCCCTGAGTGACAAAACTTGGCAACAGCTTTCAAGATCCTAACCTAAATTTTAATCAGTATGCATGAACATTTAAAACATGATGATGGAAAAAAATAAATCAGGCCAGCTAGTACTTTGTGGTTTATTTCTCTGGCAGGCTCATCAGACTCTTTTGTGTAGATCTCATCTAGTTAATATACAGTAATTATATCTTAAACATCTAACAATTCTTAGATTAGCTGTCACATTACTGCTTATAGCTATTTACACTCACGGGGTTTTTTCCCTCGCTTCTTCATACTGGTTTCCACTTTGTTTTTAAGTGAAACGTTAAAGATTGTTTCATTTCTTCAAGCTACCTCCTGGAAACAGCAGTGAATGCAGAGGGTAGCTAATCATTCAGACCTCCTGGGGGACACGTAGATTAATGATTTTATTTGGACTAAGCCAAGATTCCCGTAGCATCACCTTGCAGATGCAGACGGCATTACGCTACGCTGGTGCTTCGAGGACTAACGTGATACGGAAAGAGCGCGAGGGCGTCCCGTGCCTTTACAGGACTTGCTCTCGCTCTTTCCGTATCATCGGTTAAACACCAATACCACCTAATAAGTTTTCAAAGACACTGGCCTGCCTATTTGCAGTTAATGAAGCCAGCAGAGCGGATGGAAAGCCCTGAGCACACACTGCATTTGCCATCCGTGGTCATTCCTGCGAGAGAGATTTTAACTACTGAATTATGACAGTTCAATACCTTTACTCCTGTTCACACGAAAATGTAAATAGCGTCCATTAAAAGGAACAACGCGCCATACAGTTTATCAAACAGGTCACCCACACTTAGGCTAGTAACCGTCTCTCGTATACCGCTTTGGATGTAGAGCGTAGCGAGCACCAGGCTGGCCCCCGCCCAGGGCCAGCTCTAATCTGTGACACATGGTGGAAACAGCAGCAGCTGAAATAGGCAACCGGTCTTCCATGTATTGACATAACATTTTACTCTAATGCTAAACACATATTTACATCAGAACCAATAATCCCATGAGTCTAAAGACAGAGCGGAACCCTGCTATTAAAAGACAATTTAATTCAAGGCAACTTGGAGGTCTTCCCATCGCAAAACCATCCCTGCATCTGAGGAGGCTTCCATGTCCTCTTTGGCAGCAGAGTTGCCCTCTGGAGGTATTTCTCTCCGAAGACTCCCGGCAGGGCAGTGTTCAGGTGAATCTATGGCAC